TAAATGGTTGTATCATTATACAATGTCCCTAGAATATAGGGTGGTGCACCACATATCATTATGTGGTGCTCGAAGACTTGCTTATTGTATAATGAGCTTCTGTTAAGGAATTCTTTAAAAACCCTTGGACACTGTAGGCTTAATTCACATTGCATTTCAACAATTCAACCATTTATCTTTTAGGACTTTCCTCAAAAATCATGTCTACCGAAAATTACCAAAATTAGAAACCATATGATAGTTTGATTAAATCGTAGTCATTTTTTATATGTCTTTGCAGCACTATATTCGTTTATTTTCATCACATTAATTAGATGTCTTAGTAATTTTTTAATTTTCTAATTTCTTACAAAAGATATATGAATTCAAAATATAAACTAGTTGAGATGATTAACAAAGTTAAAAGTGAATGACACAACTACTTAGTACAACGATCTAGTGGTGAGTTCACATTCGTGTGTTGTGTGTGCACATGAGAAATTAAATCCTGGTAAGATTTCTGTGTGAAGAAAATGAGAAACATTCTATGATGCCAAAAGCCATTTTTATCTTGATACATAGTATAGAAGAATTATAGATACGACTAGATGGGCAAACGAACCTTCTCACATCAATTCAGAATTAGTCCTTGCAGCCGTGGCCTGACCAACCATTATCTCTCTCCCCCTTTATCCATATTTTGTACCTTCAACCACCCATCAATATCATATTTTAAGAGCTTGGGAGAAGTAGTCAATTTTGGGGACGGGGTCATAATTTTATTCTTGAGGTGATAGAGAGATGTATTCAATAGAGAATTTGATGAATTCTAATGAAATTATGACTCCCATGGAGTCTATGAATTTTAATAGATTCATATAGACTCCTCATGAATTTTAATGGATTCACATAGACTTCATGTGGATTTAAAAGGAATTTTATACGAATTTTGTTATGGAGCTTTTATAGCATTTACAGAAGATGCCAAAAGTCACAACGGGGATGCCAAAAAAAGAAGAAGATTTCTACGGTGATGAAGGGGAGTGGTGTTGGCAAGTACAACATATTGATTATGAGATATCAAGATCAGGAAAGGAAATTGAACAAAAAAGAACACCCAAAGAAATTGATGCTTAGAATTCGATTGAATTGAATTGAGATTTTAAGGTTCCCTAAAACAAATAATAAACAAAATTGACCATGAGAAGCCAAGAAAATTGTTGATTACTGGTTGTCTTTCTTGAAGAGAAACGAGATAAAGATTTGGCCATACAGAGAAGACAAAAAAATTGAAAAGGAATTTTGTAAATTTCTTGGCGTGTTACCTTTACATGTCTGCTTAGAAGAAGATTTTGTTCATATCGAGGTATGCTCATACTTTGTAGAGGGAGGAATCACAAAGAAATCTTAGGGGTAGATGCATGATTTGTGAGGGCTTTTGGTATTTATATTTTCCACTCTAGAATGCACCAAGACCCTTCAACTCCTAAATTCCTACAAATTCATTGAATTTTGAATACAACCAGATTTTGAAATATTTTAAAAACTCGAGATTGAATACCACTAGATTTTGACATGCTTTTTGAAATCAATATTGAATACCACTAGAGTTTGGCAGATTCATTTAAAATCATATTTCAATACACCTATATTTCTAAAATCTTTTAAAATCCATCAAAATCTTAATTGGATAAGCTATACTGATTGTTATTTACGACCAATCCGAATCATAATGAAAGTAGTAGTTTTACCATAAACTAGCTTCAATCTTTTTTTTTTTTTTTCTCTCATTCATTATTTGCTACCTGCCCATGGTGGATAAGGTGTGCCTTGTGAGTTCAGGACCAAACTCAACCGCTCATACAACCAATCACTTTAAAGCCGTGTTTAGTTACAAACTTACGCTATTAGACTCGGCAATGCATGACATACAAACATATGGATCAACTACCGTATAAATTCATTGCGGCCTTTTGTCGAGCTCCAAACATTGCGGTCTTTTTTCGAGCACTTGGAGCACAGGGCCTGCCAAGAAGAGATGGGTTCGGCATTGACAAGTTGTTCTCCAGCCGTGGAAGGCTCCTTTTTGTCCAACGTCACCCGTGGAAGGCTCCTTTTCAGCCATCGATATATTATACAACAACAGTTCTTCTTCGGAATTGAACAAATAATTTTTACCACATCGTATTAAGGTGAAATCCAAGTATACTCGGAACTTAGGATTAGGAGCAAACAAAGAGCTGAGCGAATAAATACACACATTCAGAAACACACAAAAAAACGGAGAAATGAACAAATCCTTGAACACCAAAAGGCAATGCATCCGTCTGCGCACGGTTATTTTCAGTAACACCACCAACAGTGGCAATTCAAACCATATAACCAGCAAGTATATGCAAGCCGAAAAAGACAACTTCAGTGTATGAAAATCATGACGGTGATATGAGTTATAGGCCTTGATCAATCAGGTAGTCTCCCAACCTCTCCACAATCATATTACATTGTCCTGGAGTCAAAGGCTCCTCATATATACCGAAAACCAGAGCTTGGCCGGTTTTCTTCACAGTTACGCCACCAGAGCCCTGCAGAGGAAATCAAATCCAGCATGTCATAACACATAGACCAGAAAAACTTTGCATAGACAGCAAGAAATACATCATAAAGGCACATGTAAAGGGCAATTCGGTGTAAATTAGCTTCGGTGGTTGCAAGTGTACGTAGCTCCTTCCGCAAAGTTAGGGACCTCATAATCATGAGGGGCATCCTCTGTTGGGAAGAGTTTGGTAGTAAACTTTACAGCAGATAAATCATATGCAATTAGACAACCATGTGTTTGTGTATTTTAGCTATGTGAGACTATTATCGAGAGGGACTAATTAAAATTTAAAACAAAGAACCCAAAAGGAAATCGGGATACACAGAAGAGGAATATTTAAGCGGTCCACCTGTGGGACTCTTGAAGCTCTATTATTATTCTTTTAAGGAAAGACCATTATCTAAAGCCCTATAATAATCAACAGATGAGAAGGCAGAATGTTGACTGCAATATGAAGAACTTCAACAGATGGAATCGATGGTGAACAATTTTATAAGTCAAAAAGCTGAAACAACCATGAGGACCACTACTTATGACATGGGTGCACGTATACTGCTTTACAGTTTTCATTGCAAACCTTTATGAGCAATTTAGGCTAATAATCCTATATTCTCAAATAATGACCTGAAAAGAACCTTTCTTTCATAAACTATCAAATAAACCGTCCACATCTTCAATTACAAATGGCTATTATTAGAACTTAAATTGAGTCTTGCCTGCTAGCAAACTCAAGCTCAGCCACTACATTTCCAGGAGTCTAGATCCAAACTCAAACCAGCCTGAGAATTACGCTCAATTGGGGAACAATTATAATATAAACATATCATTGAGTATCTATAACATGATTTTGATATGTAATTGTATAATCTAAAATACACAAATTGAGACCCATGAAGCTCTGCCTAAAAGCTCACATGGTGACGATTAAGAAGCCATGGGATCGAGCAAAAACAGTAAGCTGTTCATGAGTGAATTAATTCCTTTACACTTTACAGCCAGATCCATTACATGAACATAAAATGACCCCATTTCCTTTTCACTTGTCATTTGAGAAATGCAAGCCTAATCTAAAGACGCGATTTCTTGAAAATGTAGGGTTTTTCCATGTAAATTCTTCTACTTATATAGGGAATTTTCTCGAAAACATTGTTTTCATTCGAAATACACACACCTAACCCGAATTACACCAAAAAGAATTCAAAGCAATGACATCAATGACCAATTAGTGTATGATGAAGGAGAGGAACAAAATAAACAAACCTTCTTGCCACGAATCACAGCTCCGCCCTCGCCCTGAATAACCATGTACTTTGTCCCACCAAGGTGTAATCCAGTTGGGGCAAGAGACCCTGGCTCATCAAAATCTTTCATTATCGCCGTAATCTCTTCCGGCTTAAACTGCACATAAATAATAAAATAAGCAAACCAATATTAGTCTCCATCACTCACTAACTACCACAACGGAGAACATTTTCTCAGCAACCAAACAGAAAATATCAATCACAATTCACAAACCATATCGATCATCACTAAGAAAAAAAAAATCCATTCCTATCAGAATCTGAATTGAAATGTTGAAATCAGTATCCATTAGGTTCACAAGTCCCGCATCTGCAATCCAATTACTTCATTTTCCGAGAAAATTGAAGTTTTCCGAGGAAACAAACAGAGCACAGATCAAATAATAAAATGACAATGAAGAGTAATCGGAAAAAGAGAAAGTTGTAGAATGTGAGAGAACCTTAGGGAAGGTGGAGCTATGGGCCCACACACTACCGTCGTGGCCGAGGATGGCCGCGGCTTCAGATGGTGGCCGTCGATGTCGCACATCAAGTGATCGTCGACGTACGCCTGCCACGACATTTTCTGATTCAATCGTGATCGTCGAAATTCCTCGAATTAACTTTGATTTTGTAAAATTTTGCGAATTTTCTTTTGCGCTCCGACTCCTTATACAACACACAAGGAGTTGGCCTGAAACTTGAAAGAGAAAAGGAGGGGGAACTTGGTGGGGTGGGCCCACTAAATCTTGGTGTAAAGATAACCACATTGGTGTTGGTTGGGTGATCTCTTTACAGGCGTTGGATATGAACGTGATCGGTTGAGTGCCTTAAACGTCCTGCTACTGCGTAGAGTGGGGCCGTCCATCAATTTGGTATGGACCAAACCGGCCGAACCGAATCACGGTGACCGGTTTATTATTTTTTTTTAGGAGCTTAATTATAACAATAGTTATAAACTTTACTTTTAGTTTAATTTTAGTTTCTAGACTCTCAAATTAGTTTTTTTAGCCCTCAAATTTAACAATATGTTGCACTGCATCATTGGTCTTTTTCTCTAACGCTGTCTTTTTTTTTCCGTTAAATCTAGAGGTATAATAGGAACTTCAACTTATATCTTTAAAAAACAATAGAAGAAGCTCACAAATGAAAATTTATAAATTATAACTATACTAAAACCCAACACAAAAACACTGTTCATTAAAAGTAAACAGACTAAAGTACCCTCCAATTCCTTTGTTATCAGCCATTTTTTACCACTTCTACATATGAAAAAGACGATTTTGTCCCCATCGCTGCACCTTCTGCTACGACAAAGCACTGTTCGCTTCCAGAAAGCATGATCACTAGAAACCCTTCGTTCTCCATTTGCCGTTATCGTTCAACTCTGATTTAGCTACCCTTCGTCAACTCTGATTTAGCTACCCTTCGTCAACTCCAATATAGCTACCCTTCGTCAACTCCAATATAGCTACCCTTCGTCAACTTAACTTTCCTGCGCAACTCTCTCTCCGAAGCACCAAATTCTTGGCCAAATAGAACATCAAACTCCCCGATGGTCACCAACTCCAGTTCGAGATCGAGAAGCACTCTGTCAACGACATACCCGACGCTAAGATTCATAAGGTCTCAATATCGAAGAAGATTTCATACGCTCTTTGTCGACGATGACGACCTGACGCAAATCCTGTCTCGATTTGAAGAAAATTCTTCAAGCAGCTTTGAATTCACGGTGATTCCGCTCGCCCTCTCTAGAATTTTATTTGCGATTCTCTATTTCTCTCTTTCTTACGTTCAATATATATGGTCTAGAATCATGAAGTAACTAATTCTACTATATACATGTTAGCATTTAACCGGCCAAAAATATCATAATAAAATAATTTAGTTTGCCAATTAGGAGCTCTTTGTTCTCCAAGATATGCCTATTATCTCCTTCAAAATCATATTTCGATCAGTTTTATCTGATGACTAGTTAGTTATAGTTTATGCACTTTGAATTGCAGAGGATATCTATAACACAATATCCAGTGGCGCTGGTTTTCAATTCTGGTGATTTCTAGAGTTTTACGGTGTGTAATGTTTAGGGATGTGGTTTGGGTTTGTGGGCAAGTAATTTTTAACTTGAATTTATTTCTTTTTTTTTCTCAAATTTGTTTGACGGCATGATTTTTTCTCAGATTTCTTTTGAATTTATATTTTATTTTATTTTATTTTCGAGCCTTGAATTTTGTAGGGACTGTTTCATTTTTAGAGAGGTAGTTTGACCCCATTGACGATTTTTTTTCATAGCAGCTTCAAATAAACCTCTCTCCTCTCAGTCGGTCATCTGCTCTGTTTCTTTCACAAGTATATCTATTGATACAATTATGTACATACATATAATCGATTTCTGCTATAATTTTACGTCTATAGATTGAAAATTTGATTTTTTTTATTTGGGTTTCTGAAGTTCCGAGGACGAGTTCGTCGCGGCCAATGTTGATACTTTCGATTCCAAAGTTGCCTCCTTTATATCTCACAAAGCAATGCTGCAATTCTCATAAGATATATTTACAAAAAAAAAAAAATTATTGATTTTTACTAGTAATTTTAATTTTTTTTTGTTGATTTTCTTATGAAATTTGGATTTTTGTGTTTTGGATTTGACTAAAATTCTTGAATTTTATCAGTAAATTTGTGTTTCCTTCTCAAATTTTTATGAAATTTTCTGTAACATCACACATCGCCCAGGGGAGTGATCCTTAAATGTATATTCTCATCCCTACCTAGCACGAGGCCTTTTGGAAGCTCACTGGCTTCGGGTTCCGAAAGAACTCCGAAGTTAAGCGAGAAGGAGGCCAGGTCACTCCCAGGATGGGTGACCCACTGGGAAGTTGCTCATGAGTTCCCAAAAACAAAACCGTGAGGGAATGGTAAGCCCAAAGCGGACAATATCGTGCTACGGTGGTGGAGCGGGCCCGTGAAGTGGTCCACCCCGGGCCGGGATGTGACAAATGGTATCAGAGCCAATCCCTGGCCGGAAGTGTGCCGACAAGGACGTCGGGCCCCTAAGGGGGGTGGATTGTAACATCCCACATCGCCCATGTGAGTGATCCTTAAATGTATATTCTCATCCCTACCTAGCACGAGGCCTTTTGGGAGCTCACTGGCTTCGGGTCCCGTAGGAACTCCGAAGTTAAGCGAGAAGGAGGCCAGAGCACTCCCAGGATAGGTGACCCACTGGGAAGTTGCTCGTGAGTTCCCAAAAACAAAACTATGAGTGAATGGTAAGCCCAAAGCGGACAATATTGTGCTACGGTGGTGGAGCGGGCCCGGGAAGTGGTTCACCCCGGGCCGGGATGTGACATTTATCATGGACAAGTTAACAAAATAATTTTGTTGAATGTTCTAATTCAGTTCGACTGCTTTCTAGTTAGCCTACTTGAGCATTTTCATTTCTTACGTTGAAAGAGCTCTTAAGGTAATCTACCTACATCTCTTCTTATTATACTTTTACAACTGTTTATTGTTAAAATGTTTAGTAGATGTTGACATTGTTAATTAATTGCAGTTTTTGTTCTATTGGTGTCCATTGTCTTTGTCAGCTTAAGTTCTTGGACTACAATGGGAGGTAATTATTTGTTGGATACTTGAGTACTGCTTCACTAATTTTCATGTATGTTTGCCATTGATTGTCATCATAACTTTGTGTCGAATGATCCTCATTCAAATTGTTCTTAGATGGTTGAATTTGTTCTCACTCATGCCCTTTTTTTCTTCAAAATTTGGTGATCAAAACAAAATCCGTTGAGTTCATGCCATTTAATCTTTTCTTTGCAACTTTCTTAGTGAGTTTCTCATGCACTGGATATGGAGTGTTCAAGGTGAACCTTTTTCTCTATGTAAGTACTATATTTCCTTCAATCCAAAATTTCAGCAGTTGTATAATCTCACTCATCATAGCATCTATTCGTCATTCTCATTTCTTGGTCCAAATTGCATCTTAAAATGTGGTTGAATGTCCTTCACATCAAGCACCAATCAACCATATCACACTTGCATTGCATAATCATTAAGTTCATTTCTTCAATATTTTGGATGTAGATGCCAAATGGTATTGAGGAACAATTTTAGCCTTTATACAGTTGGTTCTATTTTTTTGAACAAGACGCGGAAGAAGAACCATTGATAGTTGCACATCTATGTTGCAGAGATTTGATTCAAATTGGTGGATTTGGGTAAGAAACTAAGAAACCCTAACATTTCTTTCGGTTTTAAGAGTTGAAATGGACATGCATGTGTTATCATTATGAGATATAAGGGGTTGAGGAATTTTGAGAGTGGTGGCTAGCTAAGGAAATAGAGAAGGGATAATTCATTTAGTTTTGAGATCCAGAATTTATTGCAAAGTTGAATTCTCATGATTTTTTTGTTGTTCTAATATCTTTTGTTCATGTATTTGAATGCACTATTTTTATTCTTGCTAATTTATCTGAACCCCAATTCAATTTGCTGGAATTCATCAAAGAGTATTGGGTCTAATCATTTCCCTTTAATTTTTCTAAGTTGTTTTTTTTCATTTCTATAGGGGTGTTGCAGGTGTCCATGTCATATTCATAAGGAAAAAGAACCATTTTTCTGGATATATTGAAACATGTAAGAAATTGTTCTCTACTAACATATTAGGGTTTAATTTCTCTACTAACATGTAAGAAATTATGTTACATGTTTAGTTTCTTTTAGTTGTACTATATAGATAAATGTGTATGTATTAGTATTCAATTTATCCCCATTCTCGTATGGTGTTTACTAAACTATTGTTGCACAATCTCTGATGGTTCCATTGTTGGGCAAAAATTTGAGATTAAATTTAATTACAAATAAAAAAACTAGATCACTACACAGACTGTTATGTTGTTTGCATATTTAGTTGTTTTGTAACTTAGTTGATTTGGGTTTATGTAGTTTTTTTTTTTCATCTTGGAGCCACTGGCTTGCAGGTTTTTGAGTGTTAAAAAGTGAATATCTATTTCAATTTCTTATTTTCTGCCTCAAATGTTATAAATATGAATTTGCCTAATAATCTTAGCATACATTTGAAACTTCTATGTGTACAAAAAGAAGACATGTTTTGCAACCAGCACAATCCAACAAAACTTTTGCCGCTCTTAAAATCATTATCTAAACTCCCACCTCAAGTAACTACTCACTTTCCATATGCTTTTCATTTCTTCATAGATAAAACAATTTACATAATTTTTAACCATTAGATCACAGGACTTGACATTTACAGTTATATGATTTCTAATTGTTTGTATAAATTTCTTTTCATCCCCAGTAAGATGATCTCATGGCATAGTTTAGCAAATATTCACTATATCATGACAAATTGCTTCTTTGCACACACTTATTAATTAAAATTTATATACTGCAATGTTAGAAATATAATTATCCATCCAATTTATAATCCCCAGCAACACGCGGACATCACTATCTAGTTAATATCTAAGACTTAAAACAAATGAAAATTGAACTATAAAAACACAAAATGAAAATGGTTGGACTTCAGCAACTTGTAAATATTAGGGAATGCGATTTCAAAGGAGATCGAACTGTGGTTGGACTTAAATAACTAACAAATCACATATTAAGCTACAGAGAAAATGGTTATGTATTCCATTTTCTTACACACAAAAAAAAAATTCTGGTTTATTAGATTTTTTTTTTGTCATTTTTAGTGACGTGGGATAAAGTTCCTAATATACTCCTAAATTTAACAAAAAAAAAATGATGGCGTTAATGAAAATGGTCAATGGTACAACACATTGTAGAGTTCGAAGACTAAAAAACTAATATGAGAGTTTAGAGACCAAAATTAAACTAGGAGTAATGTTCAGAAACCATTGGTACAATTAAGTGTTTCTTAAGAATAATCAAATGGTTGAAAATCGAATGGAATCGTAAAATAAATTGGTTCGGCTGTAGTTTTGAGTTTTTATTTTAGATGTATCCTCTTACTGGTTGAAATAAAAATGGTTTTTTTTTTTTAAGCGAAGGTACGATATTCATTAAGTAAATTAGAATTCGTACAAATTGAGGATAGTGCGCATAATGGGCCTTGATAAACCCTTTCTGGAGATTTTAATCCAGTCGAAGGAAAAAAGTGTCTTGCACAACAAGAGAACTACCCTCAAATGAACAATGGAAAAGAATTACAACCCCTCCTCTAGAAGTATATCTTAGATCAAATCTAGAGGCTCCTCAAACCACATTACCTCATGAGCACTATTAATTCCCAACCGAGCAAGCTGATAGGCTGCTGAGTTCCCTTCTCGTTGAATATGACTAACCACTGAATCGACCACTCCATGAGAAGGCATCCCAAATCATTGATTATAGGACCTAAGGCAGAGTTGTCGTCCCCACTCCCCTGCGTGGAAGCCAACACGAACGCAAAGTCTCCATCGAACTGAATCTTCCCCTCCACTGTACAAATAGTGCCCACCAATATTGCAGCTCTACGAGCTACAAAGAATTCAGCATGCAATGCAGAGTTTACCCTCTCAATGGGCCCAACAGCAGCGACAAGACACTCCCTCAAATGATTTCAAATCACCACCCCAAAACCTCCCCGGTTACTTCTATTGTTCCAAGCTCCATCGAAGTTGCACTTAACCCATCCCTCCGCAGGTCTCCCCCACTTCTGATGCTCTCGGTTTGCCTTCCTCACCACTGGCTTGTGCCACTTATGAAATTCCTACATCCAGCCCTCGGTACGAAGCATAATTTCAAGCGGCGGTAACTAGATAAGAATGTTGAATTTAATGTTAGTGAAATTTTGAAGATTGACGACATGTTGAATTTTGGCTAACAATATTGTAAAAAAAGGCAAAAGAAAGAAAAACTATTATAATGTCATTGGTTTGGTCGCAATTTTTTTTGTGAAATCAATCCAACCTGAACAATGCCCGGCCCTAAAGTATATGATTATAAGTGCTTGAAAATTCCTGCATACATCCATGGTCATGTGAGACCCACGTGATTTAACTTGTCAAGACTTTATGTAATTTTCAAAAAGAGATTGAGTCATTTACAATTTTCAAATCTTTAACAATTGAAATCACTGTTTTATGGTAATTATACAAAATTACTTTAATTATGAGTCGAATCACAATTTCATATCTCATGTTTTAAAAATTACAAATATTTAGTACTACGATTTAGTGGTATTCCTCTTCAGTTGCAAGTAAGAGGTCTTAAGTTCGATTCTCGCCGAAGGTGAATTTGATCTTTCATTGTTCAAATATGTTATCTTTGATGTTTTAACTTTTAGGGTTCAATATTTAAGAACCATTTATGAAATTTTTAGTTCCTGGACTGAATTAATATTCAATATTTTGCACTTCCCTACTGATTATTGAATCATTGATGTTCTATTCTAGGTGAACATTTAACAGATTTATCATGGACAAGTTAACAAAATAATTTTGTTGAATGTTCTAATTCAGTTCGACTGCCTTCTAGTTAGCCTACTTGAGCATTTTCATTTCTTATGCTGAAAGAGCTCTACATGCATCTCTTCTTATTAAGGTACCTTTTACAACTCTACATTACTAACTATTTGTTGTTCTTTAAAATGTTTATTGTAGATAGGATATTGACACTGTTAATTAATTGCAGTTTTTGTTCTATTGGTGTCCATTGTCTTTGTCAGCTTAAGTTCTTGGACTACCTACAATGGGAGGCAATTATTCGTTGGATACTTGAGTATTGCTTCACTAATTTTCATGTATGTTTGCCATTGATTGTCATCATAACTTTGTGTCGAATGATCCTCATTCAGATTGTTCTTAGATGGTTGAATTTGTTCTCACTCATGCCCTTTTTTTCTTCAAAATTTGGTGATCAAGACAAAATGCGTTGAGTTCATGCCATTTAATCTTTTCTTTGCAACTTTCATAGTGAGTTTCTCATTCACTGGACATGGAGTGTTCAAGGTGAACCTTTTTCTCTATGTAAGTACTATATTTTCTTCAATCCAAAATTTTAGCAATTATATAATCTCGCTCATCATAGCACATATTCGTCATTCTCATTTCTTGGTCCAAATTGCATCTTAAAACGTGGTTGAATGTCCTTCACATCAAGCACCAATCAACCATATCACACTTGCATTGCATAATCATTAAGTTCATTTCTTCAATATTTTGGATGTAGATGCCAAATGGTACTGAGAAACAATTTTAGCCTTTGTACAGTTGGTTCTATTCTTCTGAAAAAGATGCGGAAGAAGAACCATTGATAGTTGCACATCTATGTTACAGAGATTTGATTCAAATTGGTGGATTTGTGTAAGAAAATAAGAAACCCTAACATTTCTTTCGAGTTTAAGAGCTGAAATGGACATGCATGTGTTTATCATTGTGAGATATAAGGGATTGAGGAATTTTGAGAGTGGTGGCTAGCTAAGGAAATAGAGAAGGGATAATTCATTTTGTTTTGGGATCCAGAGTTTATTAGAAAGTTGAATTCTCATGATTTTGTTGTTGTTCTAATATCTTATGTTCATGTATTTGAATGCACTATTTTTATTCTTGCCAATTTATCTAAACCCCAATTCAATTTGCCAATTCATTAGAGAGTATTGGGTCTAATCATTTCCCTTTAATTTTTCAAGTTTTTTTTTTTTTTATTTCTATAGGGGTGTTGCAGGTGTCCATGTCATTAAGGAAAAAGAACCATTTTTCTGGATATATTGAAACATGTAAGAAATTGTTCTCTACTAACATATTAGGGTTTAATTTCTCTACTAACATGTAAGAAATTATGTTACATGTTTAGTTTCTTTTAGTTGTACTATATAGATAGATGTGTATGTATTACTATTCAATTTATCCCCATTCTCTTATGGTGTTTGCTAAACTCTTGTTGCACAATCTCTGATGGTTCCATTGTTGGGCAAAAATTTGAGATTAAATTTTGTTGATGCACAAAATCAGTGAGGACTTTGGTACCACGAAAGTGTTAAGTTTGTGATCTTCGCTAGATTGCTCCGGTCACTAGTGTGGATAAGTATGTAAATGGATAGAGATAGGGATGCAAACACAAGATGTACGTGGTTCACCCAGATTGGCTACGTCCACGGGGTAGAGGAGTTCTCATTAATTGTGAAGGGTTTACACAAGTACATAGGTTCAAGCTCTCCTTTAGTGAGTACTAGTGAATGATTTAGTACAAATGATATTAGCAAAAATTGTGGGAGAATGATCTCTTTTTATAAAAGAGTGTTTCTAGCTTTGTTCTGACATTGACACGTGTCGTCTTGTGATTGACTTCTGACGTTGACACGTATCGCGCTATGATTGGCTTCTGATGTCGACACATGTCGCGCTGTGATTGGCCTCTTGGTTGGAGGAAAACTCTTATGGGTCCTTGACGGTATAACGTTGACCCGTGCTCAATAGTTTCGGGATTGGTCAAGTATGGTACAAACAAATTTAATTACAAAATAAAAAAACTAGATCACTACACAGAATATTATGTTGTTTGCATATTTAGTTGTTTTGTAACTTAGTTGATTTGGGTTTATGTAGGGTTTTTTTTTCATCTTGGAGCCACTGGCTTACAGGTTTTCAAGTGTTAAAAAGTGAATATCTATTTTTTTTATTTTTTGCCTCAAATGTTATAAATCTGAATTAGCCTAATAATCTTAACATACATTTGAAACTTTTCTGTGTGCAAAAAGAAGACATGTTTTGCAACCAGCACAATCCAACAAAACTTTTGCCGCTCTTAAAATCATTATCTAAACTCTTCGCTCAAGTAACTACTCACTTTCCATATGCTTTTCATTTCTTCATAGATAAAACAATTTACATAATTTTTAACCATTAGATCACAGGACTTGGCATTTACAGTTATATGATTTCTAATTGTTTGTATAAATTTCTTTTCATCCCCAGTAAGACGATCTCATGGCATAGTTTAGCAAATATTCACTATATCATGACAAATTGCTTCTTTGCACACACTTATTAATTAAAATTTATATACTGCAATGTTAGAAATATAATTATCCATCCAATTTATAATCCCCCAGCAACACACGGACATCACTATCTAGTTAATATCTAAAACTTAAAGCAAATGAAAATTGAACTATAAAGATACAAAATGAAAATGGTTGGACTTTAGCAACTTGTAAATATTAGGCAATGCGATTTCAAAGGATATCGAATTGTGGTTGGACTTAAATAACTAACAAATCACATATTAAGCTACGGAGAAAATGGTTATGTATTCAATTTTCTTACACACACAAAAAAAATCTGGTTTATTAGATTTTTTTTTTTCATTTTTAGTGATGTGGGATAAAGTTCCTAATATATTCCTAAATTTAACCAAAAAAAAAATGATGGCATTAATGAAAATGATCAATGGTACAACACACTGTAGAGTTCGAGGATTAAAAAACTAATATGAGAGTTTAGAGACCAAAATTAAACTTGGAGTAACGTTCAGAAACCATTAATACAATTAAGTGTTTCTTAAGAATAATCAAATGGTTGAAAATAGAATGGAATCGTATAATAAATTGGTTCGGCTGTAGTTTTGAGTTTTTATTTTAGATGTATCCTCTTACTGGTTGAAATAAAAATGGTTTTTTTTTTTTTTGAAGCAAAGGTACGATATTCATTAAGTAAATCAGAATTCATACAAATTGAGGATAGTGCGCATAATGGGCCTTGATAAAAACCTTTCTGGGGATTTTAACCCTGTCGAAGGAAAATAGTGTCTTGCACAACAAGAGAACTATCCTCAAATGAACAATGGAAAAGAATTACAATCCCTCGCCTAGAAGTATATCTTGAATCAAATCTAGAGTCTCCTCAAACCACATTACCTCCTTAGCACTATTAATTTCCATCTGAGCAAGTTGATAGGCTGCCGAGTTCCCTTCCCGTTGACTATGACTAACCACCGAATCCGACCACTCCATGAGAAGGCATCCCAGATCACTGATTATAGGACCTAAGGTAGAGTTGTCGTCCCCACTCCCCTGCATGGCAGCCAACACCAACGCAGAGTCTCCATCGAACTGAATCTTCCCCTCCACCGTACAAATAGTGCCCACCAATATTGCAGCTTTACGAGCTACAAAGAATTCAACATGCAATGCAGAGTTTGCCCTCTCAATAGGCCCAATAGCAGCGACAAGACACTCCCCTAAATGATTTCGAATCACCACCCCAAAACCTCCCCGGTTACTTCTATTGTTCCAAGCTCCATCGAAGTTGCACTTAACCCACCCCTTCGCAGGTCTCCCCCACTTCTGATGCTCTCGGCTTGCCTTCCTCGTCCCTGGCTTATGCCACTTATGAAATTCTTACATCCAGCCCTTGGTACGAAGCACAATTTCAAGTCGCAGTAACCAAATAAGAATGTTGAATTTAATGTTAGTGAAATTTTGAAGATTGACGACATGTTGAATTTTGGCTAACAATATTGTACTGATTATAAGGCATACCTCATCAAAAATTATAATGTCATACCTCATCTTAAAAATTTGTTGTAATGTCAAACCTTCGTTATTTTTCTGTTAATCGTCCCCACCTCCTCTTCTGGACCCCAAAAATGATAGAACCCGCTGTCCCTTTGACCCTAGCTCAAGCGCAGCCACCTCCATCGATTTCAAGATCTCCAAAGCAGTACAATAATGATTAGTCCCTAGTGCCATTGCCAAAGATGATGCTAGCTCTGAATTTGAATCTAAACCTGAATCCAATAAACAGGTTTGTTTCTTGTTGATTTTTCTGAAATTTTTCATTCAATCAATTTATTTTCATTCGGCGAAGAGGAATGAGAAATAGTTATATTTAGAGACTCGTGCTGATAACGTGTTATAAATATGTAAAAGTTAGAGGGATAACCTTTTAGATAGGTACGAAGCAGATGTAAAATATCACACTAAAACTATAGCTCAAGTGAATGACAAATAAAAGATGGAGGAAGAGATTTCTTTCGTTCTGTATGTTCTCTCTGTATATACATCGATGGTAGTAGGAGTGCTCTATTTATAGAGCGAATCCATACGACAAATTCTTAAAGTTTGAAATTACAACATTTTGTTTCCAAAGTCTTCATCATATTTGTGTAGGTATTGACAAATAACTTATGTGGGCATTCATCAGATAGCCGATGGTTTCATCAGCTAATGTTTTGAACTACAAATGGTTTCAACACTCCCCTTTGGATGTCCACATATCAACATCAGTTGCCTCGTTAAAACCTTGCTTGGGAAAACCCAGTGGGAAAAAACCATAGCGAAGGAAAAAGAGTACAACTTTACCTGGATTGTTGATATAGTGTTAAGTATGCTTATGTTGCCTCGTTAAAACCTTGATAGGAAAAACCAGTGGGAAAAATCCTAATCGAAGGAAAAAGAGTACAACAAGCATGTATCATGGATGCTCCCCATAATATGTATCTCCCACTGATTCCGCATTCTCCAAATTTAACTGTTTGGTAAGTCGACGTAATTCGATACTTTGCACTAACTTCTGAAGCGTGCATTTTGGTAGAGATTTGGTGAACAAATCTGCAAGATTTTCATTAGAATGGATTTGTCTGACTTCAATAACTTTAGCCCTCTAAAGCTCATGTGCATTGAAAAACTTTGGAGATATGTGTTTAGTTTTATCGCCCTTGATGAATCCTTTCTTCATTTGGGTAACACAGGCTGCATTATCTTCATGAATGACAGTTGGAGTGTCTGTCTTTGAAGGTAGACCACATAAATTCCAAATATGATGGATCATTGATCTTAACCAAGAACATTCACGACTTGCTTCATGTAAAGCAAGTATTTCTAAATGATTTGAAGATGTAGCAACTAATGTTTGCTTTGTTGAGTGCCATGAGATTGTTGTATCTCCATTCTTGAACACATATCCAGTTTGTGAGCGGGCTTTATGCGGATCAGAAAGGAAACCAGCATCTGCATATCCGACAAGAACATAGTCATTTGTGGAGTTTTTTAGTAAAAGAGACCCATATCTGTTGTCCCACGAAGGTATCGTAATACATCTTTGACACCCTTCTAATGACGGATTGTTGGAGCAGAGCTATACCTAGCTAACAGGTTGACTGAAAAAGCCATATCTGGTCTAGTACATTGTGCTAAATACAACAAAGCACATACTGCACTCATATATGGTACTTCTGGACCAATGACCATTTCATCATCTTCTTTTGGACGGAATAGATCTTTCTTAATGTCTAGATAACGAACAACCATTGGCGTGCTGAGTGGATAAGCCTTGTCCATACCAAATCGCTTCAGGATTTTTTCAATGTAAGCTTATTGGTGGACCAAAATTCCACTAGCACAATGCTCGATCTGCAGGTCGAGACAAAATTTCGTTTTTCCAAGATCTTTCATTTCAAATTCGCTTTTCAGATATTCAGCAGTTTTATGTAACTTTTCAGGAATTCCAACTAGGTTCATATCATCGACATATACTGCCACTATAGCAAATCCAGAGTTGGATTTCTTAATGAACACACAAAGGT